TTGCTGCTTATTTCAAGCGCCTTGTTCATCGTGACTGTTTGGGAAGTCTTCCCACCTAGTTTGTCTCTTTATTTTGGACTCTTACCCCTCCGTTCATACTCCACCCTATTCTTATTATAAATTCTAAATAATTAATTCACCTATTACAAATAATTGGTTCAAATTAATTAAAAATATTAAATAAATTAAAAATATATTTTTATTTTTAAATATGTCTTTATAATAAATGAGAGAATGGCTAAAAGAGGAGAGAGGAGTACCTGTTGTCCCCTCCCTCCTTCCCCCCATTTTCCCTTCCTTCCCAAATATTATTTTCTTGTTTCTTTTGATTAACAGATTCTAAATTCAATGAGTGGTATTTTGACATCTTATGGGTAAAAAATGGAGCTGTTTTCATTTTTTTTTAGAAGTATTTTCAAACAAAAAATACTCAAAACAACACAGATTTTTATGCAAATATTTAAAAATCATAAAAAAATTGAAAACAGCTTTATTTTTTGCCCATAAGATACCAAAATGTTAGCCCTTGAATGTAGAATCCAGCAATCAAAAGAAACGAGAAAAAAAATATTTGGGAAGAAAGGAAAAATGATGGAGAAGCAGAGAGGGCAACATGGAGGGGCAAACACCCCTCTCTCATAACAGAGAATACGTGGGAAAAAGTGATAAGAAAGTACTACCTCCGGTCTTTAATATAAGATATCGTTTGACTTTTATTTTGATCCTAAATGTAAGACTTCAATCCGCTTTATCTCTAATATTTATGCATTTTTTTTCAAGATAGTCCTTCTAACAATGGTAGTTCTGGTCAATACACTTGATTAGCAAGGATATTTTAGGAAAGACAACACCTATTTATGACAAATAACTAGCTTACCTTCTTTTCTTAATCTCCTCAAATTAGTCAACTAGTTTTTATAATTAGAACCGAGGTAGTATGATAAAAGAGAGAGAATAAATAACTAAGACCAAAATAAAAAAAAAATTAAATGCTAAGATGAACACAAATTAAAGTTTATAAAATAGATAATACCTCTCTCCAAATTTAAGGGTTACAAACAGGACCGGAAGGAAGGAGTACCAAAAAATTTAAAAAAAAAAAAAAACTCAGACCAGGAGCAAGGACCCCAATCAAAATTACATCAAACTGTCAAGAATGGCAATGATATTGACCCTATTTTTTACCGGTCAACAATGGAATTACAATATATCAAAAAGGGCGGCTTTACAATTATTAAGATCATGAACACAAAAAGGAAAAATTAGCTATATCGTCTCACCCAAAATATGCCATATCACACCTGCGTTATTCAACCTTTCACCTGATTTTTAGGTGGAGTCATATTAATCAGTATTGCCTTTGTCCCAACTAATCTGTATTATCAATCAATAAAAAGATATAAAATGTGTAGTAGGTTGTGCTATTTATAATTACGAATGATGTAAATTTTTTTAATCAATTTTCGAACAATGAAGGGAGAAAATTCCATGTATACAATACAAAGGGAATACGTTTGCTTTTTGCAGAAATATTACTCTCAGTTCTTAATATAAGGGCTGGTTTAACATTTAATTTAATCATAAACATAAGACCCCAATTCATTATATCTCTCATATTTATTTATTTTTTTCAAAGTAATTCTTGTAGTAGTTATACATGTTAAAAGTTTCATTAAGTTATAGTTTTAGCTAACATACATTATTAATAAGAGTATTATAAGGAAAATAACACATATTTATTACAAATAACTAACTTAACAAATTTTTTAATCTACTCAAATTAATTAATTAACTCTTATATTAAAAATCAGACCTAATTTTAAGCATAGTTTCAACTACTTGCACATGCCAAAAATGGACATCTAATTATCAATCTGACTGGGGCAAGTTTCGTCACATTGAACACCAACTTGAACAGTCTACTATCATGGAGTGCACCGCATTTAGAAGAGAAAAATTATGATAATTAAGTCATGTTACTTCTATTTTTTAATATAGGAACTAGATAACTAATTTATATATATTAAAAAAATTAGTTAAATTAATTATTTGTAATAAATAGGTGTGAAATTATTTGTTGATAGAAACCTTTTAACATGTATAATTATTATGAGAATTGTTTTAGAAAAAAAAACAAACAAATGGATTAATATCTTATATTTAAAACCAAATTAAATTTTTAACTAATTCTTATATTAAAAACAAGATCTAGTACTACTTATAGCTTATGGATGTTGCAAGTTTTTGTAACCTTTATAGACATTTTGCTAATATGGATGCTAATAATATTCATATTGTTTTCTCAAAACATTCATGTTGGAAAAAAAATCAATCATCAATATGACAATATCAATATTGCGTGTATAATTCAAATCAATTATACGTATATTTATGATACTATCTCCGGTCCTAATTATAAGAATCAGTTGACTAATTTGAGAAGATTAAGGAAGTAAGCTGAGTTAGTTATTTGTCCTAAATAGGTGTTGTCTTTCTTAAAATATTCTTGCTAATCAAGTGTATTGATTAGAATTATCATTATTATAAGGGCTACTTTGAAAAAAAAGTATAAATATAAGAGATAAAGTGGATTGGGGGTTTTTTATTTAGGATCAAAATAAAAGTCAAATAGAGTTTTATATTAAAGACCGGAGGTAGTATTAGATTACATTGATTTAATGTATAATATAAAATTTATAAATTATAAATAATGAAGATCTGGACAAAAGCATGAATCATCATCACTTTCATATCTAAAAGCTGAATAACAAAAAAGGGTCGCGCGGTTTGCTGTCTTTTTCTTCCATTCCCTGCTTTTTTGCCATTTATTTCTTTACTTTTTTTTTTGTCATTTTTAGAGTTTAATAAAACAAATTATTTCAATCTAATCCATTAACTTTAAAAAACATACATTTAGTCTTTTAATATTAAAGTCATTAAGTGTAATTGATATTTTTTATAATAATCATGGTTGTTTTGAAAATTAAACTTAAAATATTAGCATTTAAGAATGTTTTAGTGACATTTAAGATCTCAATATCATCATTTTTTTTACAGTTTTAGGATTACAAGACTAAAACTATGTTCTTAAAATTAACGGACCAAATTGAAACTTTTTATAAAATTAAAAAAATAAATATATATTTTAGTCTTGTTTCTATTTACATATAGGATATCACATTCACATATGATCCTAAATACAAAAGTTAGTTGATAGTGTAATTCAGGAAGGGAGGTAGTATATTTTCAATTATGCATATAAAATAATAAATTATAAACTAGAACGTCATGTTGTTTACATCTTTAATATACACAAGAGTCATTAAATTTTGGAATAAAATATGATGTTTTTGTCTTTTGATATATGCCAGGTGACAATTTTTCCTGTTTCTTTTACAAACCATAATAAAATTAAGTTGTTTTAATTGTCACATAAATTTTGAAATAAAATGCGCTGTTTAAGTTTTTTAATTTTTAATCTTAAAGTAAATTTTGATTTTTAAATAACTTATATAAGACACTGATGAGCGTACGAGACAATAGATTCTCGAATGAAATGTGCCGTTTATAGTTTTTGATGTGCACGGACACAACAAATTATATTTTTTTGTTGTTGGCAAAAACGAAAAGTATACGTGGGTGACAATGACGATGCACCTGTACATTATCTTTTTATGGGCAGTTGTACAATCTTATCTTATTACACAATGCTTACTTCCCCAATCTTTGCCCAACTTGTTGTACCAGATTCCCCATAGCTACTTAAATTATTCTGTTCTCAAAAGGTTTCTCGTTACACAATTCTTTTAACAAAAACTTGAATGTACTTCCTCCTCTGATTTTAATTATAAAAACTAGTTAATTAATTTAAAAAGATTATAATATAAAAACTAGTTAATTAATTTAAAAAGATTATAAAAAGATTAAATTAGTTATTTGTAATAAATAGGTATTGGTTTTCATAAAATATCCTTACTAATCAAATATGTTGATTAGAATTATCATTGTTAAAAAGACTATTTTGAAAAAATATATATAAATATGAGAGACAAAGTGGATTGAGGTCTTGTATTTAGGACTAAAATAAAAATAAAAAAATTATATTAAAGACCGGAGGTAGTATAATTTTATTTCTGATCTTTAAATAAAATTATAAAAGAATTATGAATGAAATTGTATCACTAAAAAAATCAAGCATCAAATTATACATTTATTTTTATTTAAATTCTTGCTTAACATTCAGACCCAACAATATTAATTAGTATTTTTTGTCATCCTTCGCCTAATATTATCATCTTATATCCTCAAAAATCAAATTTGCAGTCTCATGTCAGAAAGATTTTAGAAGAAATGAAAAAAAAAAAAACAAAATAATACTCATTAAATTTCAAAATTTAACGATTTTAATATGTCAAAATCTTTATAAGAATAATCAACATTGCTTATTTATTATTTTAAAATTTAACTGTTATTTTATCTATATTTTTCTCAAAGCATTTTTTTTTGACCTGAGATTCTCAAAGCATGTTTAGTTTGGTAAAAGAAAAAGATACTCCTCCGGTCCTAATTATAAGACCCAATTGACTTATTTGAGAAGATTAAGGAAGTAAGTTAAATTGGTTATTTATAATAAATAAGTGTTGTCATTCCTAAAATATCCTTGCTAATTAAGTATATTAGCTAAAACTATCATTATTAGAAGGATTATCTTGGAAAAAAATACATAAATATAAGAGACAAAATGGATTGGGTCTTATAATTAGAACCAAATAAAAAATCAAATTGGGTCTTATAATAAGAACCGGAAGAATATTTAGTATTATCGTGTCACAAGGTCAAAGAATATTATATCAATATTTTGTTTTATTACAATAAAATTTACGCATTTATTATGTCGTTCATGATTCACGAAAGACTTCGAACTTGCAAAAAAATTATTTTTTCACTGATTTTCGCAGCCATGAGAATCTCCAAGTTTTCCTTGCTGGGATAAAGTCGCATTAGGAATCGTTGGCGTGCGCTCCCAAGCCTCTGCTTTGTCGTTAGCATTTTATATATTTCCGCATGAGTGTCAGAGTCGGCTTTGTCTGAGTTCATTTCTCACCGGAAATGGAACGGCTCCATCGCCAGCAGCCTGTATTCTCCGACCGGGTCGTCGTCAACGGCACCGTCACCCCGGTATCTCTGTTCAGCGACGGCACATTATGGTGTTTGGATGGAGGTCAACGGTGTTTGCATCTCGAAAAAGATGTTCTTGGGTTCGTCACTGATGGCCCTGATATAAAGATCAGATGCCTCGTTGATGGCCAGAGTGGCTGCTCTCCGCGGAACAGAGGGAAGCTTGTCAGAAAAGATGTCGTGTTTCAATCGTTGTCCCAGGAATCTCAGAGGCTGTGGTGCCAGAACCTTCGCGAATTCCTCGATTCCTTCGGTAAACGTTCTGGCGATTTCTCAAGGCTATTTAAGCTGCTACATATATATATATATCTATCTAGATATGCATGTATATGTATATGTAGGTGTGTGAGGGCCATGAGCTATTTAAGCTGTTTTATACTTGTGCTATGGTGCAGAGGGTGCGCTATTTAAGCACATTATTGGTATTCAATGGATTTCCCAAATGTTTTTTTTTGTTTTAACTTCAATTGTAGAGAGAGTGTGTGTCTGTGTGTGAGACTATTGAAAAGGTTTAATTTTGGTATTGTTGAATGGTTTTACGATCCTCTGTTGCAAATGAACTGCGGCATCAATCATAGAGAGAGAGAGTGCGTGCGCGCGCAAACTGTTAAAAAGCTTGATTTTGGCATTGTTGAGGAATAATTCCCCCCCCCCCGGGGTTGCAAACGAATTGCTTATTTTGCATATATTTGGTTCACCAAGTTGGTTTTTTTATTCCATCTATTTACTTTAAAATTTAATGATTTTGAAATTTGAACTACACTGCCTCTTGGAGTTATCGGCGAAGAAATAAGTTCTGGGATTTAATTTCCCTGGCTATTGTGTTTTGTTCTGAGATTTATAGATGTAGCTGAAGTTAATTACCTCTACTACAGGTCGCCCTAAGAGGCTTTTTATTTTTCTTAATCCATATGGGGGAAAGAAAGCTGCTACAAAGATTTTTCTTCATCACGTGAAACCTATTCTTGATGATGCTGAAATCCAAATCACTCTTCAAGGTTCTGATTTGTCTATTAAGCTTGGCCATTTCTCTCACCCTGCCATTAGTTTAGTAGTTGTTTCTCTTTATATCTATGCATACTAATGTTGTATTATGTACTCCTCAGAAACCAAATACCAGCTCCATGCGCTGGAAGTTGTTCGTACACTAGATATTTCAAATTATGATGGGATTGTTTGTGTTAGTGGTGATGGAATTCTGGTTGAGGTTAGTTTCGTTGATACTATATTCTTTTGCAGTGAGTCCCATTATGGTTGTGGATAACTTGACAGTTAACATTGACAGTCCTTATCGTTTCCCCTAAAAGTTTAAATTTAAAAGTTGTATTTATCTTCTGGGGAGAAAAAGAAGAAAAGGAGAGAACGAATGAAAGAAAAGGTTGGAGGTGATATTGAAGTTAGTCAATTTTAATAGACTGAACTATTAATTGTGTATGTATTGGAGCCATTCTATTCACAGGCAAACTGTAGTCTCATGATAAAATCTGACACTAAAGTTAACCTTATCTTTTTATTGAATGAAATTCGAAGCAGCCATTCATTGCTTGTACACCCTTGAGACATCTGTAAATTTTTGCTGATGGAGTAGTGATATCTGGCTCCAGGTAATTGAATTATGGAAAGATAATTTATCGTTAATATCTTGATCCACTTCTTTCTTGAGACACATATGGCCTTCTGGAATGGGGATGTGAATTCTCTAGTCCCCTGGCTACCGGTTTATTGATTTGATGTATTGATATAACATACCATTCCCTTTTGTTCTCGCACGAGTTGAAGTTATAACATCTGTGCCTAGTCTTACCCCATTATGGTTCATTGTATTTGGTTCGACTTCCTTATGCATTTTCCATGCACCCAAACTAATTCTGTACCATCTCACTTATTACGTCTTTCTGTTTTTCCCCTCATGTTACAATTTTATTACATTATGATAGGTTGTAAATGGACTGCTAGAAAGAGAGGATTGGGATACCGCAATAAAAATACCCCTTGGAGTAATTCCTGCAGGTTTATCACTCATTTGTTACCCTTACATTTCAAAATTCAATAGTTACACATAAAGTTATTATCCAATGATTGCTATTTTTCTGCACTGTAATGGTACCAGATGTCTCCGCCAATGAGTTAAACATCTGATGTTGAAACATTTGAGGATTAGTTTCTTTTCCGCTTCATTTTTTCTAGATGAAGCATAGAAGTCAAAATATGATATTTAACATCTAACTTTTTAAACATCTTCTAGGAGGAGGATGCACTAACAGGTTGAACCGTAGAGTTATAATTAATTTGATGAGAAGCCATGTATTGCACCTTAGCAATCAACTCTTTATGAAGAGTTTTTTTTTTTTTTTTTTTGCCCTCACTTGTTAGCGAGAGCTTGTGACAGTTTTCCATTCAAATAGACTTACAGCAGCATGAAGGGTGGTAACGTGGAGCTAATATTATTTACTAGATTTTGCCAACAATCTCATTTTATAGACATCGATGGGGCTAATATAGAATTTTTCTAATTAAGCTTTCCACCCATCTTAAATGATTCTATCTGAAGGTACGGGCAATGGCATGGCAAAATCTCTTCTTGATTCTGTTGGTGATCCTTGCACAGCTGCTAATGCTGTTCTTTCCATTATTCGAGGTTGGAGATCATTTCTGTCCTAGTATGTTATAACCTCACCAATATGCTGCTTCTTTTGCTGACAAGGTAGCTCTGTATCAAATCTTGACAGGTCATAAGCGATCTCTTGATGTGACTACAATCAAGCAAGGAGAAACCAGATTTTTCAGTGTATTGATGCTTGCATGGGGTAATTACAATATGTTGGGTTATGCCAATGAAGCAGTGGCTGACACTCAAACAAACACATCTCAACTGCTACCTTCTTTAATTATCTATCACACACTAGTAGTATCTGATTTTTCCTGTGACTGTTACTTGGAGATAATGATGAATATGTACTAAAGGCATGATTCTTTTACAGGACTCGTTGCAGATATTGACATTGAGTCTGAAAAGTATCGATGGATGGGAAGTGCTCGATTTGGGTTTTATGTTAGTAAGCGACATTAACACAACGACATGTTTATTTATGACTTTTTTCTGTTGTTGAGAGGTGTCTCTCTTCAACTTAACTATTTATGATGACATGTTTATTCTAATTCTTTGATCGAAATTCTAATACCTTGATTTAAGTTAATGGATATATGACTGTCGAATTTTGTTGAAGTGTGAGCAAATAAATAACACATTGCGCGATATACTTATGATGTTTTCAAACATTTTAAGTTGATGTAGTTTTGACTTCTGTTTTTTGTTTCATTTTTTGCATTGCAATTAACTTGACCGATAAGTGATTGACTTTACTAATTATTGTTTCCTTTTGCTCATTATCATTGATTTTCTGTATAGTAGTTTAAGCTCTATCATCTTATGTGTTAGGCTCTCAATCGAATCTTACATTTGAGGCAATACAGCGGATGCATTTCATTTGTGCCTGCGCCTGGGTTTGAAGCTTGTGGGGAGCCCACGAGTTACAATGGAAAATCTACGGGCAAAGACAACAACCATGATCTTAAAGAAGCAGAATATATTAAGTTACAAAGCTCCTGTTATCGAGGACCTGATATTAACTTAGAGAATTTGAATTGGAGAGCCATAGATGGACCCTTTGTTTCTGTTTGGCTTCACAATGTTCCCTGGGGCTCTCAGGATGCCTTGGCAGCACCTGATGCAAAGGTAGGTAGGTTTATGTGTTTTAAGAAATTTAGATTAGCTTCTTTGGAGTTTGGACTCAATTGATGGGATTAATGTGTATGAGGGCGCCAATTAAGTGTCCGACACGCCTTATGGAGGCTAATACAAAAGGAGTGATATTTTGGTATTGCCTTGATTGATATTTCTGGCAGAAATTTAGCTTGCTAGAGCTGTGTGAAGTGGGTGAACACGATTATAGCAATGAAAAAAAGATGGATGGTGTCTGATGATTGACTTAGCAAATTTTATCCTCTATGTTTATTACTTATTGCATGGGTAAACGCCAAAAGATGTAACTTTGTGTGGGACTTACATTTCGTCTTTATACCCAACATCTCCCCCCCCCCCAACATGCCCACTCTGTGAATGCAGAGGATTTTGATTGGAGGGAGTAAACTGATTGAGAGTGGGGTGATTTAGAGTGTATGCAGTTCTTTAGATATTTGATATATCAGATTCTTCAGTAAAATTATCACAATTTGTGTATCCGCTCTGCACCATTTAGTTTATTCTTTCAAAAAAGTTTCTTCATGTGTTATATTTTTATTGAAGGAGACAAACATGTAAGAAACTGTACTTAAGTTTTGTCCTTCAAGTATGTCTGCATACTACCAAAATGTTCTTCTACATGCCATTTTCTTGGGAAATACATCTGGAGCCAGTGAAATAACAAAAAGTGTTATTTTCTCCCTAGTTGAGACATCTTCAATTATCATTCATGAATCATGATAATGAAGAGTTGCTTTGCTCGTGAATGCAGTTATCAGATGGTTGCCTAGACTTGATCCTTGTCAAGAGATGTCCAAAATTAGCTTTGCTGTCACTGATGTCAGAATTAGGTAGTGGCAATCATGTGAAATCGCCATATGTAATGTACCTTAAGGTGAGTTCATCAGTTTGATTCAGCATATAAAGAAGTAACATGACTTTCTTATCTGTCACAAGAAGCCCTAAAAGTTTATCTCCCCCTGTTTGCCTTAACTACGTCTGCCTAAGAAAAACAGCTTTATTTTGCGACAAATAACAGGTGAAGGCTCTCATCTTGGAACCGGGCCCACGAATTGCGAGGGCTGATAAAGAAGGTATAATAGATGCTGATGGGGAAGTTCTGGCAAGGGGGAAAGGAACGCACAAGTGTGACAATATGACTTTGATGGCATATGATCAACTTCAAATAACTGTGGATCAAGGTTTAGCAACAATTTTTACCCCAGTGTAGTGGTTAAATTGAATTTTCTTCTTTTTCTCTAGGTCCATTCCATTCTTGTTCTTGGTTATGGTTTCACTAATAATGACAAAATAAAATCTTCTATGGAATATGACATTGTGTATCCTGTACAGAACTGAACCAAATAAAATGGAAAGCTGAGTTAGTTCCCTCTGCAGGATTTGTTTTTAGGCCTTGAAAGTGGCAGTTTTGAATAGCTTTTGGATTTTTTCCCCTTGAAAAGTATTATTATCCAAAACTTTGTTTAATCTTTCCCAACTGAAAAACTTCGTTGGGATTTCATCAGAAAAGCTTGGGTTGATCTTTCTTTATGGTCAAGCTTCAATCCCTTGGCAACCACACAGTTGGAATATGCTCCACACGCTCTTGTACACTCATGGAAGCAATGAGATTATATATTTGCTGATTGTGACAACACGTTTGTATTGTTAATTTTGAGTAGATTTAAATTTGGATGGCTTGACTTGAGGTGGAGAACATGAGATGCGTAATAACAGTACAATATAAATAATATTTATTTATTTATTTTTTGTTAGTCATACATATCCTCTTATCAAGGGCAATTCTATTTGAGGCACTGTGTGGTACTAATTGTGAGCATCTCTCCCAAAGAGAATTTGAGCTTTAGTTTGTCGTGTTATGTGAGATTAGTCATTTTTACTAGATCTAACTTCTGTTTATAATGTAAATAATATTTGTGAATAAAAGACAAATGCAATAATTTGTTGGGCTATTTTACAAGTAGTACTATCCAAGCTTCTGCAATAGAACCAGAAAAGCCGAGTCTGATAAAGTTGGTATCGACTGTCAAAGAAACAGTGACGATGCCAAGGATTGTAGCTTGCAAGAAATTTCCCAGAAAATAGTTTTTCTTCTCGTTTTCATATTGGCGACAAAAGTCATTATATCATCAGAAGTTGGAGGACTATTTTACGCAAATTATGAAGAAAGTGAAAGGCAAATAAAGTTCAAAAGAAGAAGCAAAGTATTAGGTATGGCGGAATTGGATTTGAGTACAAGTTTCTCTTATTAGTTATCCCACATATTTATGCAATATTAATTCATTTTGAAATATATTTTAATGTTGGAGTAATATACCCAAAAATGGGATAAAAACAATAGTAAAAAGATAAATAAATAGGGGAGATGTGAAGAGCCAATGATTAACGAAGATTAGTTTAGTTAATATAAATATGACTCGTATTTTGTACTACTTCTAGTCCTTAATATTACATCTGATCTTTAATACAAGACTCATTTGATTAATTTGAAAAAAATTAAAAAAGTTCCTAAATGACTGTAAATTATATATTTATCATTTTTTTTCAAACTAATTTTTCTTACTTGTAAATTGATATATAATCTAATGATCCACATGAATATTTTAAAAAGATTATGTAAGATATGTTATAATTAAGTAGTTTAGTAACTTTCTTAATTTCTCCAAATTAATCAACTGAATCTTATATTAACTATTAAGAACTGTAGGTAGTATAAGAGTTAAATATCTAATTTACGAATATTAAAAAATTAGTTAAGTTAGTTATTTATAATAAATATATGTTGTCTTTTTTAAAACACCTTTATTAATCATGTGTATTGAAACTACATCTTAATATAGATTTCTTAACATGACTATAGGGATTACTTGTAAGAAAAATAGATAAATATTAAAGACAAAATGAATTGATGTTTTATGTTTAGAATCAAATTAAATGTCCAATCAACTCTTATATTAATGACGGGTGGTATAATTTATATAGAAATTTCCTTAGTATGTAATTTATAAATATTTTTGTAAGATGCTCTGTTGGGTGATGATTGTGAAGTTACCTCTTCTATATCTCTATTAACAATCTTCTAACCAAATTATTAAAAGTACATTTGTGGCTAAACCACACCATCCATCCATTGGGTGTACGGAGTATTATGCTGCTGCTGTGTTTTTTGAGAACTCATTTGGCTAATGAGGCAGCATAGATCATAACACCCCCTGATTTCTTACTCTTCCAATGCTAGCTACTTACAAGACAAGATCCAAAGCCAATATACAAGGCGGAAGCTGAGAATACCTAAATATCTCATTCTTAATATAAGAGCAAATTAATTAATTTGAGTAGATTAAAAAAATTAGTTAAGTTAATTATTTATAACAAATAAGTGTTGTCTATCATAAAATATCCTTCCTAATCATGTGCATTAGCTATGACTACCATTTAATGAAACTTTTAATATGTACTACTACAAGGAATATCTTAAAAATGGATAAATATAAAAGACGAAGTAGATTAGGATCTTATATTTAAAAATAAATTGAATATCAAACTTGTAAAGACCCTCAACCTTAAAAACAACATTACTCATCATAAAATCACTACTATGGTAGAAAAGGAAATCTGTTAAATGGACTACCATAGTAGGAAGAAATTTGCATAATTTTGAATTCACATTTAAACCGTTGCATGCAACTGAAATCATTCATTTACAACTACTGGGCCTCCGAGCCTACGGCCCGGGTAACACATACATCAAAATCAGCCCATCTAAATAGTTTTCAACCATATAATCCCGAGTTCATCAAACACTAGCAATGGCCTCCGGCCAACCAAAATAAGGAGATACAATCTCTCCAGTTTACAACAAGGCCGGGTAATCAAATATATCAAAAGCAGTCCTAAATGTGGCAATATATACTAGTCATACATATACAAATGCTAGAGGCCTAAAGCTAACCGAGCTCAAGCCTCTGCGTCTCTTCCCGATGGCCCACGCCCGGAACCTTCACCTGAAAACATTATAAACCACGGGGTGAGACTAAGTCCCAATAACCAACCTTTCCAATACTAGGTACTACTAAATAGGTGCTCGTGAGGTGTCAAGTGGGGCAGTTCACAAATAATATATAATGATAGCCACAACAATTTATGCAAGTGCAATGATGTAATCCCATCAACCAAATCCCTCACTTTGGGGGATTTTCAGGAGCCGAAGCCGGCCTATCCCTCACTATGGGGGACATAAGGAGCCATAAAAGGCTTATCCCTCACTCTGGGGGACGTAAGGAGCCAAAAGGCCTATCTCTCACTATGGGGGACGTACTAAGCCAACCATCATGCATTAATGGAGGCCTTACCACGTGATAGTAACAGACAAAACTCTCACCAAATTCCCAATCAATGCATCATGCTCAAATCATAATCAAAGAGTAATAATCATTTCACAATTAACCTCATTCAGTGGCATATCTTTCACAATTCCAAAATTCATTCATCATTAGTCAAAACCCCACAAGACGGTTTTCCGTTTTATACACAACATACAGTTTAAACATAATCACTACTTAGAGCACAAAACATAAATCTACTCACAATACCACAGAAGCAAATACTAAGGATTGGAAAGTGGTTACCTCTCGCCTGAGCAAGGAATAACAAACCGACAATGTGGTCCTGTGCACCACCACGACTCACAACCGGTCTACACAAGCACACAAACACACAACCATCATATATTAGCTTTCAAACTAATAATGTGGCCAAAACAACACTTGGGGACACAAAATTCCTATCTCCCATCAAAACTCTACCCAACTCAAAGGGTATAACTATCAAAATAACACTCCAAAGTCCTCAAAGTCTATTAAAACATCAAGTCTCCTTCCAAGCATCAATTAGAGTTCAAACCTCAAGGACCCACTATAGGAATTCAACCTCCAACATCCCATTTGAGCAATTAAGGTTCCAACAACAAATCTAAACTGATTAAACATCCAATTTAACCCTCCTTAACATAACCCAATTCACAAAACTCAAAATCAATCTCTACATTATCATCCTCAATCCCAAATCACCTATCTCCATAAACCCTAATTCCAAAAACTCAAGATTCTTTAAATCTAAGGAAACTACACCGATTAAACACTTAAACTAACCCAAAGCAATCAATTAAACTCAAAACAATCGGTCAAAAACCTCAATTCCAACACAACCTAGAAAATCCTAGGGTTTCACCATAAATCCTTATAAATTCCAATCAAGAAGACATATTAGAGGTTAAAATCACTTACTTGAGATAATGGATCCTTAGAAATGCCCCCTCCAAGCCAAAAGTTCGAAACCCTAGCAGAGCCTCTCTCTCTACCTCAGATTTTCTAATTTTCCGCACGCTGACTCCTCCCGCGAATATATAGATTCTCAACCTTTCGCCGCGGCGAACTAATCCCGAGAGGGATTACTTGCCTGAAAACCTGACTTCGCCGCGGCGAACCCCAATATTCGCCGCAGCGAAAGCTTCCCGAGAGGAAACTCTCGCTCGCCCAGAAAACATTCGCCGCGGTATATCCCTACCTTCGCCGCGGCGAAACCTTCCCGAAAGGGAAGCCTCGCTCACCAGAGTAACTTCGCCGCGGCGTCCCCAAGACTTCGCCGCAGCCAAACCTTCCCGAGAAGACACTCCCCTCTGAAACTCCCGGTGCGCCGCGGCGAAGTAAACTTCGGCGCGGCGAACATACCCTGAGAAAGGTACGTTCACCTATTCCTCCAACAAACCTCAAATCCAACCCAAACACCAAGATCAAGATTAAATCACTAATCTATCCTCAAAATCAACCCAAAAGAGGCTATTAAAACCCGATAAAACTCAGGATGTTACAAAACTAACTCTTATATTAAGAATAGGAAGTAGTACATACTACCTCCGGTCCTAATTATAAGATCTTGTTTGTAAACTACAAACGAGGTCTTATAATTAGTACCGGAGATAGTATATTTTTCTAAGTGTTAGTGTAAAAAGAAGTTGGCATGGAAATTAAAGGGTTTTCCATTGATAAACTGCGTCCGTACATACTTTCAAGTTTAGAGTCGTATAAGTGAATGCTCATGGGATTGGAGAGTTCGTTGAACAATATAATGTGGGAATAAGTAATAGTATAATTGATTTTTCATAGACTTTACTACCCCCATAAATTGATGAAATTGCACCCCAAATTTGATGTGCCTTGTATTAATTACATACTACTTCGTCCTTTATTATAAGATCATTTTAACTAAATTGCGCAGTTTGAAAAAACAGTTAAAATTAGTTAAAAACAATTAATATGTAGAAAATATAATTTTTTTTCCAAATATACCCCTATATATAAATTGGTAGATGTGAGAGAGTAATAGTGATATAAATGAAGAAAGAGAATGTAATAGATGCATTAAACTAAGAGTAAAATAAATAATAATACATTAAATATTCAGACAAACTCAAAAAAAAAAGCCTTATAAAAAGGGATAAACTTGTTCTAAAAATTAGATATTATAATAAGGGACGAAGGGAATAAACTCTGGCTATATGGTGATGCATATGAATATATGATGAAAATCGATCATGCAGCTTATTATATAACACGTGAAAAGGAAGAAACCGAAATAATGAATCTACTTGAAGTTTGATTTTTTAACGGCCAAAACCAAAAATACGGACAATAAAACAACAAATTAAAAGAAAATAAACAAATAAAGAAAGAGGGGTTTGA